TAATCTGCTTTAAAATCTTGATTAATCCATTCTTTATCAATTTGAAACGGTTCTTGTTTTGTAATAGTATTAAGAACTTGAGAAGCAGTAGGATTAAAGTCATCTTCTTCTTCATGTTGAACATTTTCATAAACAGGTCTTGTTATTTTAGAATTAATATCTAATTTGGTTAAATCTATATTGATAGTGGAGCCATCAACAGAATGTCTCTCACTATTTCCTTTATAAATCATTTGTGGTAAATTAGTCCTACAAGATCTTGATCTATTCATTCTTAACCTAATATCTGTTCCTTCTTGAACTATTTCTCTTACATGAGTATTGTAGATTTTTGGTTCATCTATTATTTTTTCTAATAACCAATCTTCTGGAATTTTAGAAATAACCTCAGCGTGACTATGACGCCTTGGTACTTGTATTGATGATTTTCTAAGATTCGCTTCTACTAAAACAGTTTCATTTTTTGGAGATGATCTAAGGGCTTTATAATTATAATCTATTTTAGTAACTTTATAATAAATTCTAAAAATAAGTTGTATTGGTCCTGAATCTTCATCTAAGATTTCATAAGGAATTTTAACATAATTTTAAAGCATTACAAGTTTTTGAATTTCTAATATTCATTGAAAAATTTGGATAACAGTTAAAAAAGGCAGGGCCATCATGTAAATTACTTTCTAATATTGCTATAATAGAATCTTGAAATTGTTTCATACGAATATCTCTTAATAAAAGTAATATTGGACTGTTTACACCTAATCTGTAATTAGGCTTAGCAGCAACTTGAATTAATCCTAAGTGCATAAAATTATAACCCTTTTTTATATGTTCATCTAATATATTTTGTTGTAAAATATTAATAATTTTGTTAGTCTTAGTACCTGGATAACAAAATTCTGAAATATGAATTCCATCTTGATTTGTTGAAAAAATGTTATGTTGCTTATAAACTTCACATTTTTTTATAATAGGTATTGACCAGTTATGAAGGGAGTTTTCTATTTCTGCTATTTGAATTTCTATTTGGGAATTTTCTTGAGAAGTACTGGGAGTATCTTCTAAAGTATTAGGAGTTCTCATAACTATTTGTTTATTCTTGTCTTTGGTTCCTATACTGCTAATTGTTTCAAAAATTCTTGATAATTTTGAAGGTTCTTTGATAGTGGTAAAGGCGTGGCCTCTATCCATGGCTTACCAATGGGTTTACTACCTCACTAGCCTTTACTACCGGGAACACCAACAAGAGTGTAGCAGCTGCGTTTTTTTTTTTGAACTTTTTTTTTTAGGTCCCATGTGGAGCTTGGCAGAGAGTTGAGGCTGCAACCTTGGGTGAGGGTTGCAGCTCTGGACCCCTGGACGTGAAACAGAGAGTGAAGGCTTGAGCCTTGGAACCGGGGCTTGAGCCCTCGTATCAGAAATTTTTTTCCAAGTTTTTCTGCTAAATCCGCTGTAGCCGTGAATGAGGGTTGTAGCTCCGAGACTTGAACCTTCACATTTTTGCTTCCTTTTTCACTCTTTTATAACTCTCAACCTCTCTAAAACTTATTCCTTCACCCCTACATTTTTAACAACTATAATGAACTCCCAATTAACAAAACAATCACACAATTAACGAAGTGCAACTAACATGACACACAAAACATAAGATATGCAATGACACATGAATATCATACATTCAAACATGCATTGATAATACCACATCATTTACTCATGAAGCTAAAGTAACATAACAAGCAGTAACCAAGATATGAACTTAGCAAAACACAAACATGCAAAAACTAAAACTCAATCTATAGTTAATTATGCAAACATGTTAAACATGCTAATTTAATGTCTTTAGCTTGACATTTGTTCATGATCAAATTTCTTGAAGATTTGTAATGGTAGTGAGCCTCTCAACTTCACCACCCAAGTAAGGTTTGAGTCTTTGACCATTGACTATCCATGTTCTTCCAGTGGTAGGTTCCTCAAGTTCAATTGCTCCATATGGTTTGACATATTTAATTACAAATGGGCCTGACCACTTAGATTTGAGTTTCCTAGGGAAAAGTTTCAACCTGGTATTGAACAACAATACTTATTGGCCAGGTTGGAAGTTCCTGTTCAGAATTTTCTTGTCATGGTATAGCTTAGCTTTGTGCTTGTAAGATCTAGAAGACTCATAAGCTTGCAACCTCATTTCTTCTAGTTCATGCAATTGAATTTTTCTCTTTTTACCAGCTGCTTTCATATCAAAATTCAAGGCCTTCAAGTCCCAAAATGCTTTATGCTCCAAATTCACAGGCAAGTGACAAGCTTTACCAATGAACTTATCCAATTCTTCATTAGAGATAAGCAAAGCCTTCTCTAGTGGCGATGAACTCTTGAAATAATTTTGAGTTTAACAGTACAAATCATCTAATACATCAATTCTAAATCAATCTTTTTTTACTTTTGTAAACTTCATTTCTTCAAATACGTTGAAACTCACTTCCTTATCTTGGACTCTCACTTTCAAATTTCCATCATTCATGTCAATGATAACTCGAGCTGTCTTCATAAATGGTCTGCCCAAGATCAAAGGAACCTCTGTATCTTCTTCCATATCCATTACTACAAAATCAACCGGGAACATAAACTTATCAACCTTCACAATCATATCTTCCACTATACCATGTGGAAGCTTGATGGATCTATTTGCCAACTGCAAGGTCATTCTGGTAGGTCTTACTTCCACTTCTCCTATCTTCTTCAGCATAAATAAAGGCATCAAGTTAATACTAGCTCCAAGGTCTAAGAGTGCCTTACTCACTGATAAATTACCAATTGATACAGGGAGAGTGAAACTGCCTGGATCTCTAGACTTCTGAGGTAGAGACTTCTGTATAATAGCACTGCATCCTGCCTCAAGCTCTATAGTCTCTTCTTCAAGAATTTTTCTCTTCTTAGTCAACATTTCCTTCATGAACCTAGCATAAGTGGGCATTTGCTCCATGGCTTCAGTGAAGGGAATATTTATTTGGAGCTTCTTAATGATGTCCAGGAACCTTGCAAATTGTCTTTCTTTCTCTTTCTTAGATGGAGCATGAGGGTAAGGTAGGTCTTTGATAGGAACCGTAGAAATTACCTCCTTGCCCTTCTTCTTATTCTTTTCTTTCTCCACTCCATTTTTTTCTTGTTCTTTTTCTTTTTCACTTTCCTTTTCACTCTCCTCTTTTTTATTTACATTCTCATCTTTATTGCTTTCTTCATCTTCCTTCTCAATCTTCTTCTCAACCTCATCAGAATTTTTTTTCCAAGTTTTTCTGCTAAATCCGCTGTAGCCGTGAATGAGGGTTGTAGCTCCGAGACTTGAACCTTCACATTTTTGCTTCCTTTTTCACTCTTTTATAACTCTCAACCTATGTTCCCGGTTGATTTTGTAGTAATGGATATGGAAGAAGATACAGAGGTTCCTTTGATCTTGGGCAGACCATTTATGAAGACAGCTCGAGTTATCATTGACATGAATGATGGAAATTTGAAAGTGAGAGTCCAAGATAAGGAAGTGAGTTTCAACGTATTTGAAGAAATGAAGTTTCCAAAAGTCAACAAAGATTGCTTTAGAATTGATGTATTAGATGATTTGTACTTGGAAACTCAAAATGATTTCAAGAGTTCATCGCCACTAGAGAAGGCTTTGCTTATCTCTAATGAAGAATTGGATAAGTTCATTGGTAAAGCTTGTCACTTGCCTGTGAATTTGGAGCATAAAGCATTTTGGGACTTGAAGGCCTTGAATTTTGATATGAAAGCAGCTGGTAAAAAGAGAAAAATTCAATTGCATGAACTAGAAGAAATGAGGTTGCAAGCTTATGAGTCTTCTAGATCTTACAAGCACAAAGCTAAGCTATACCATGACAAGAAAATTCTGAACAGGAACTTCCAACCTGGCCAATAAGTATTGTTGTTCAATACCAGGTTGAAACTTTTCCCTAGGAAACTCAAATCTAAGTGGTCAGGCCCATTTGTAATTAAATATGTCAAACCATATGGAACAATTGAACTTGAGGAACCTACCACTGGAAGAACATGGATAGTCAATGGTCAAAGACTCAAACCTTACTTGGGTGGTGAAGTTGAGAGGCTCACTACCATTACAAATCTTCAAGAAATTTGATCATGAACAAATGTCAAGCTAAAGACATTAAATTAGCATGTTTAACATGTTTGCATAATTAACTATAGATTGAGTTTTAGTTTTTGCATGTTTGTGTTTTGCTAAGTTCATATCTTGGTTACTGCTTGTTATGTTACTTTAGCTTCATGAGTAAATGATGTGGTATTATCAATGCATGTTTGAATGTATGATATTCATGTGTCATTGCATATCTTATGTTTTGTGTGTCATGTTAGTTGCACTTCGTTAATTGTGTGATTGTTTTGTTAATTGGGAGTTCATTATAGTTGTTAAAAATGTAGGGGTGAAGGAATAAGTTTTAGAGAGGTTGAGAGTTATAAAAGAGTGAAAAAGGAAGCAAAAATGGTCCCATGTGGAGCTTGGCAGAGAGTTGAGGCTGCAACCTTGGGTGAGGGTTGCAGCTCTGGACCCCTGGACGTGAAACAGAGAGTGAAGGCTTGAGCCTTGGAACCGGGGCTTGAGCCCTCGTATCAGAAATTTTTTTCCAAGTTTTTCTGCTAAATCCGCTGTAGCCGTGAATGAGGGTTGTAGCTCCGAGACTTGAACCTTCACATTTTTGCTTCCTTTTTCACTCTTTTATAACTCTCAACCTCTCTAAAACTTATTCCTTCACCCCTACATTTTTAACAACTATAATGAACTCCCAATTAACAAAACAATCACACAATTAACGAAGTGCAACTAACATGACACACAAAACATAAGATATGCAATGACACATGAATATCATACATTCAAACATGCATTGATAATACCACATCATTTACTCATGAAGCTAAAGTAACATAACAAGCAGTAACCAAGATATGAACTTAGCAAAACACAAACATGCAAAAACTAAAACTCAATCTATAGTTAATTATGCAAACATGTGATTTGGGAATACTAGTAATTTCCTTTCTTGTTTATAGAGAACATGGATGAAATATTGATTTAAGTTTATAATAAAGCAATTAAAAGCAATAGTGTCAACTTAGTAGAAAACCTTATATGAGAAAAAGATTGGATTCAAATGTACTTCCAGGTTGGAAGTTCCTGTTCAGAATTTTCTTGTCATGGTATAGCTTAGCTTTGTGCTTGTAAGATCTAGAAGACTCATAAGCTTGCAACCTCATTTCTTCTAGTTCATGCAATTGAATTTTTCTCTTTTTACCAGCTGCTTTCATATCAAAATTCAAGGCCTTCAAGTCCCAAAATGCTTTATGCTCCAAATTCACAGGCAAGTGACAAGCTTTACCAATGAACTTATCCAATTCTTCATTAGAGATAAGCAAAGCCTTCTCTAGTGGCGATGAACTCTTGAAATCATTTTGAGTTTCCAAGTACAAATCATCTAATACATCAATTCTAAAGCAATCTTTGTTGACTTTTGGAAACTTCATTTCTTCAAATACGTTGAAACTCACTTCCTTATCTTGGACTCTCACTTTCAAATTTCCATCATTCATGTCAATGATAACTCGAGCTGTCTTCATAAATGGTCTGCCCAAGATCAAAGGAACCTCTGTATCTTCTTCCATATCCATTACTACAAAATCAACCGGGAACATAAACTTATCAACCTTCACAATCATATCTTCCACTATACCATGTGGAAGCTTGATGGATCTATTTGCCAACTGCAAGGTCATTCTGGTAGGTCTTACTTCCACTTCTCCTATCTTCTTCAGCATAAATAAAGGCATCAAGTTAATACTAGCTCCAAGGTCTAAGAGTGCCTTACTCACTGATAAATTACCAATTGATACAGGGAGAGTGAAACTGCCTGGATCTCTAGACTTCTGAGGTAGAGACTTCTGTATAATAGCACTGCATCCTGCCTCAAGCTCTATAGTCTCTTCTTCAAGAATTTTTCTCTTCTTAGTCAACATTTCCTTCATGAACCTAGCATAAGTGGGCATTTGCTCCATGGCTTCAGTGAAGGGAATATTTATTTGGAGCTTCTTAATGATGTCCAGGAACCTTGCAAATTGTCTTTCTTTCTCTTTCTTAGATGGAGCATGAGGGTAAGGTAGGTCTTTGATAGGAACCGTAGAAATTACCTCCTTGCCCTTCTTCTTATTCTTTTCTTTCTCCACTCCATTTTTTTCTTGTTCTTTTTCTTTTTCACTTTCCTTTTCACTCTCCTCTTTTTTATTTACATTCTCATCTTTATTGCTTTCTTCATCTTCCTTCTCAATCTTCTTCTCAACCTCCCTCAACTGATCATTTCCTTCTCCTTCCACTCTCTCATTTTTTTCACTCACCCCAACATCACTACCTACCACCTTCCCACTTCTTGTTGTTATGGCTTGGCAATACTCCTTGGGGTTGGTCTCGGTGTTGGCTGAAAATGGGCCTCCAGACATGTCAGCTAATTGCTTAGCTAGCTGACCCACCTGTACTTCTAAATTCTTGATGGAAGCTTCAGTATTTTTTTGGTTGTTCATAGAAACCTGCATGAATTGGTTTAGAGTCTCCTCCAATTTATTGATTCTTTCATGCATAGAGGGATACACATGTTGTTGTTGTTGTGGTTGCTGTGGTGGCCTATTGGATGGTCCAGCTTCATTCCTCCACCCATAACCTTGGTTGCTATTAGCATTGTTTCTCCACCCTTGGTTTCCCTGCATATAATTGTTAGTATTGTAATTGCGGGAATTAAAGTTACCTCCTTTTGGTTGGTTACCCAAATAATTGACTTCTTCTTCATTAGAATTTGTTGCACAATAACCATTTGGGTGCTCTCCCCCACAAAAATCACATCTAAGAGGAGGGTTTGGCTGAATTGGAGGGGAATTAATAGCATGAAGTTGTTGTGGTATCTTGGCCATTTGCTTAGTCAGGGCTTCAATTTGTTGAGATAGCAACTTGTTTTGAGCCAAGATTGCATCATTTGTGCTCAGATCCATAATTCCTCTTTTGTGAGACTGATGTCTACCATGCTCAGCTTGATGATCAGAAGAAGCCAAGGACTCTATGATCTGAGTAGCTTCCTCTGGGCCTACAGACATCATAGTACCACCAGCTGCTGCGTCTAATAACATCTTCACCTCAGGTTTGATTCCATTAACAAAGAAATTGAGTTGAGCTATATCTTCAAACCCATGGTTAGGACATTTTCTGAGCAATGATTTGAATCTTTCCCAGGCTTCACAAAATGGCTCATCCATACCTTGCCTGAAAGTAGTGATTTCTGATTTGGCCTTGATATACTTGGATGAAGGATAAAATCTATTCACAAACTTGTTCTCCACATCACTCCAGCTTGTTAAACTTTGGTTAGGATGAGATTGTAG